TAGTACGCAATCCTAGAGGGCAACCCTTACGCAATCCTAGAGGGTAACCTATAGTACGCAATCCTAGAGGGCAACCCTATAGTACGCAATCCGAGAGGGCAACCCTTACGCAATCCTAGAGGGTAACCTATAGTACGCAATCCTAGAGGGTAACCCTATAGTACGCAATCCTAGCGTGTAACCCTATAGTACGCAATCCTAGAGTGTAACCCTATAGTACGCAATCCTAGAGGATAACCCTAGCGCTGGTCAAAGGCAGCATTCGGACGCATCTTTGACAAGGTAAAGCTTATCGCCGGATATGACAACACAACTCAAACTCACCGAGTTATGACGAGGATTTCGAATAAAAAATATTGTATTGAACAAGAATACAATAATATGATGTCCAAGCTATTGGTAGAGAGACTGAAGCGGCTGCAGCACACGCAGCAGCTGCTGCACACGCAGCAGCTGTAGCAGCTGCAGCAGACAGGGCAGGCAGAGGTCGTCGCCCTTACAGCAGCTGAGCATGACTGGCAATTATGGCTGCATACACTCGTCACCCCAACACCCGCGTAGCAACACCTGCACCGTCACCCCGACACCCGCGTAGCAACACCTGCACCGTCACCCCAACACCCGCGTAGCAACACCTGCACCGTCACCCCAACACCCGCNAACCCGCATGGCAACCCGCATGGCAACCCGCGTGGCAACCCGCGTGGCAACCCGCGTGGCAACCCGCATGGCAACACACCTCTGAACACACAAGTGATCAACTGTGCAACAAAAAAACAACGAAAAGAACAACAACATCAGGAACAACAACAACAACAACGACAACAACAACAAGAACAACAAAAACAACAACAACGAGATCAGGACCACAAACAACAACAACGAAAACAACAACAACATCAGACCAATAACAACTAAAACAACAACAACAACATCAGGACCAACAACAACTAAAAGAACAGCATCAGGACCAACAACAACAACAACGACAACAACAACAACAACAACAAAAACAACAACAACGAGATCAGGACCACAAACAACAACGACAACAACGAAAACAACAACAACAACATCAGACCAATAACAACTAAAACAACAACAACAACAACATCAGGACCAACAGCAAAAACAACGACAACAACGACAACAACAACGAGATCAGCTGCATCAGACAGTGAGGCACCTGAACGATAAGTTGTGGTGCACCTGAACGATAAGTTTTGGTGCACCTGAACCTCCGTGTCATAATACATCGTCTGCCCAGGAGTGGTTATTTCCACTGAGTTTCGTTCGCGTCTTTGTGTGCGAGGCGGTGGCAACTGCGCCATCTTTTGCATATGGCAAGTGCGTCGTGTTTTATATATATTTAGAAATTAATTTCTAGCATTACTAGATGAGAGAAAATGTGATAAAATATGATAGAGAATGTGGATTAAATATGAGAGGAAATGTGGATTAAATACGAGAGAAAATATGGATAAAATACGAGAGAATGTGGATTAAATAAAAGAGAAAATATGGATGAAATGCAACAGAGAATGGATGAAATACGAGAGAAAATGTGGATTAAATACGAGAGAGTGGGGATTAAATAACAGAGAAAATGTTGATGGAATACGAGAGAATATGAGGATAAAATACGAGAGTGTGGATTAAATACGAGAGAAAATGTGATAAATATGAGAGAAAATGTGATAAATATGAGAGAAAATGTGATAAATATGAGAGAAAATGTGATAAATATGAGAGAAAATGTGATAAAATTTGAGAGAAAATGTGGATGAGATTTGAGAGAAAATATCATAAATATGAGAGAAAACGTGGATGAAAATACGATAGTAATAAGATAGATGCCATAATTATTCGTTGGTGGCTGTGAACAGGACAATACCAGCTACAACACTCATTTAAATAAGAGGGGTTATAAGACTATCTACGACATTTTATTAATGCAGGCAATACGTGCGTGTAAATTTCACCACGCATGCGTGCATAGTGAGTATCTCATCACACGCATGATGACGTCACGCAATTAATACACACGCACGTCGTGCGCTATATAAGCAAGACACGCACGTGCGTTGCACGTGTACACTTCACCCCTCTCCTTCCTCCCTCTGCCTCCCTCCACCCCCTCCCATCTCACCCACCCCTCCCCCTTCCTGCCCCAACGTAAGTTACGTAACGGCCTTCACTCAAAGCTATAAATTGGTCAATGTTGTTTAAATAGTGACACACTTTTTGCACGTTCTGCAACAAATCCCCTTTTTTTATGGACTAAACTGTGTCAGGATGACCCACACAAGCGCTAGAGTGCATCGCTACTTGGACTTTGTCGTGAGGCTACTAACATCGTGTCCTTGACACGAAAAAGTTCAAACACGAAATTTTCAGAAACAAAATATTTTTTAATATGAATTGTAAATTTAGAGATGACATTTTTAGGAAAGAAAAACATTTTTAATGTGAATGATATATTTCTAGCATTTTTTAATGTGAATGATATATTTCGAGATGAAATTCTTTAGAAACAAAACATTTTTTAATATGAATTGTAAATTTCGGCATGAAATTTTTTGGAAACAATAGATTTTTTAATATGAATGGTAAATTTTGAGATGACATTTTTTAGCAGCAAAAAAATTTTTAATAGGAATGGAAAATTCCGAGATGGAATTGTTCAGAAACATTTTTAGAATATTATTTTGATATGAATATTTCATTTTGATATAAACATTATGAACGACATTTGATATCAAAGATGAAAGCGCAGATTTACGGCGTCAGCACAGCTGCGGTGACAGCTGCGACGGTTAAATGTGCACCTACGTAACATGTGCGTAACATACGCCACAAGCGTCATAACAACGATAACGCCTGCCATAACACAACAGGTGTTACACCCACTATAACGCCTGCCATGTGTTACACCCAATATAACGCCTGTCTCTTATACACATCTAGATGTGTATAAGAGACAGTCCATGTAGTGGTCCAGGAAGTTGGCAGATGAAGAAAACTTTGGACATGTCCACAGGCACGTCCATGTAGTGGTCCAGGAAGTTGGCAGATGAAGAGAACTTTGGACATGTCCACAGGCACGTCCATGTAGTGGTCCAGGAAGTTGGCAGATGAAGAGAACTTTGGACATATCCACAGGCACGTCCATGTAGTGGTCCAGGAAGTTGGCAGATGAAGAGAACTTTGGACATGTCCACAGGCACGTCCATGTAGTGGTCCAGGAAGTTGGCAGATGAAGAGAACTTTGGACATGTCCACAGGCACGTCCATGTAGTGGTCCAGGAAGTTGGCAGATGAAGAGAACTTTGGACATGTCCACAGGCACGTCCATGTAGTGGTCCAGGAAGTTGGCAGATGAAGAGAACTTTGGACATGTCCACAGGCACGTCCATGTAGTGGTCCAGGAAGTTGGCAGATGAAGAGAACTTTGGACAT